CAAAATGTCACATGAAAATTGATATGGAAATCATTTAGTGTTATAGCTAAGCGTTTTGAAGGGGTTTAATTGAATTTTCTTTATTGTAAGTTACCGTTAAATCAAGTAAAAAATAATAAAAGCATGTAATATTTAAGTAGCAGGAAGAGTTAGTGTGTGATTGTGTACTAGTAAAAGTGGCTAAAAGATTGCGTTAGATTGTAAATCTTAAATATATCGTTTTTGTATTTTTCTAAATTTTCTTATTATAATTACTGATTTTGTTAGTGATATTATTAATACGATACGTACTAATGATAGAAATCCCTATGGACCTAAGTAACAAACATTCGACAAACTAGGGATTAGGATAGGATTAATGATTTACCAAATCTTTGATTCATTTCAACATTTATTATTTCACCTTTTATTAGCTTATAAAGACACGAATAAGAGGCGAAGTTGGAATTTAAAATTTATAAATTTAGAATTTAAACCTCCTTTAAAAATTAACTATTTATTTATATTGAATAAATTTTTTAACAAAAATATAAACCTTTGATTAAATTTACTAAATTCGATCGAATCGCGATACTACAGAAGTTTCCACATAAAGTGTAAAAAAGGTCCGACAAAATAGAGTGGCTAATAGGTTCTCTAATTGAAGCATGAAAAAGACCCCTAATGACACTTTTATAATTTATTTAATTAATTAAGCTTTGTTTCATAATCATGTATTCTTCTTCTTCCATCTGGTCATATACTGATGTCCACTAATATACACAGAATATATAGTACTACGACACCAAAGACAATGACCACTCAACGGCTATATAATACACCATTTCTTGTCTTTTCCTCCTTGCTTTATTAGCATAAAATAATATTGATAATAAATTTTTAAAAAATAAAATGAATTTTTATCTCAGGATTAGTTATCTAGAATTAGCTATCGTGGGATAACTTATCCCACCATGTATATGGATAACTTACCCCATTCTTATGGTATAAATGGTGGAATAAGTTATCCCAAATATGACAACCAAACAAGACACATAAATTTTATCCCATTACTATTTTCTTATCCCATGACTATTTATTTTTATCCCTCACACCAAACAATCGTTTAAATCGAGTTGTTTTTGTTGTGACAGGATAGAACCAGAATGAACTAAAAATGGTATTGAGAGCGAGAGTGTATCAAGAATCACTCGATATAGAAAAACTATTTCCAAATACTAAACGTAAAATAAAATTTTTATAAGTTCGATGCCATTACAGAGTAAATAGATAGAATAAAATACTCCTTATTGGAATAATTAATTATTGTATTTTGTCTATTAAATATTGGAAATAGTCAATGATTATAGTAGAAGAGTGGTAGCTAGAACTACTAATACCAATTATGCCAACGGCTAAGTACGGGTAAGAAAGGGACATATCAATTGTCTAATACTGAAATCCAACAGCAGATTCAATGCCTGACTTACATTGCTAATAATGGTAATTTACTATCTCATTATTCTTTATATTTTACCCATATCACTATTAATTTGTTTAGTTATATGCATTTTTAAATTATAAATTAAATATCATATTAATTTAATATATAAATATTTTAAAATATTATATAATTTTGACTTACCTACCCCATAGAAAAAAAATACTTACGAATTTTCCTGAAAAATAACTTACAAAAAATATATTTTCCATCAAAATATTTTCTTTCCTATGGAACACACGCCCTATGTCCAATTACATTTTATAATATTGTTATTGGATCACTCCAAGTCAACTTACATTTTATAATATTGTAAGTGGATCAGATAAAAAGTAACACTTCTGGTAAGTAACGTCTTTTTTTTTTACTTATCTTACGTGAAAAATAAGTTACGGTACTAATGCCATTCAACAACAATTAATGACAGTATTTATACGATTTACGTTTACCTCGAATAGGTAACCCTAGAACTTACCAGAATTTTTAAAGGTGGAGTAAGGTAGGGCGGGTTCAATGGCGTACGTATGAGAAATAAGCAACTTATTATTCATTAAGTTTCATAAATTATTCTTACTTAATTTTATTGGCGAGAAAGAAGGAGAAAGAAAAAAAATTAAAAAAATAAGCAATTGACGCTTTCTAGATTCGAATTGGCAACCTTGATTATGAAAAAGGCACGCTTAACCAGTTAAGTTGAGTGCCTTTTATTGTCAAGTAGTGTCACCTTAAAACATATATCCTCTATATATTATTTTGCTTTTATCAAAGCAGTGTCACGTGACACCCCTAGGGTGTACCTAGATCGGCCCCCGGGCTGGATGAGTTTTCTTCCCTACGCTCACACATCCATATTGTCATTTTCCTCTACTACTCTCGTAGTTGTTTGATCAAAGGACTGGAGAGCCTGATTTTGAATTTTGACTTTCAATTTGTGTTTGTTTATGAAATTTACACAAAATTCTAACTTTTTCTTCAAATCATGATTTTAAATATAAAAAAGAATAGGTTTGAAATTATAAACCTGATCCATAATTTATATTTTTTGTTATTTCTTGTATTCAGGTTAGTCAAAAATACAGAAACAGAAAAAAGATGAAATAGACAGAATGTAAGTAATCTGAGTCCACAGAAACCACTGTGTTTCCTTAAGAAATTTAATCCCCCCAACACACAAGGTTGCAGATTAATTCCTCCCAAGATAAAACGGATTAACTTGTTAGAGAAGTAGCGGTACCTCAAACTTCAATAACTTCAGCGAACGCAAGAACAACAACAAGAGCACACACAGGCTCAGTCGATGGACAATTTTGTTTATGTAAGAAAATGTATGCAGAGAGAAAAAAATTCAGTGTTTGAAAAACGGAAAAAGACCTCTTATTTATAGCCATTTACAACAAGGAACACGTCTGTTCAGACAAATATGTTCAGACCAATTTTTTCCAGAACTTTGTGTCTTTTGGGAAAAGTAACGACTTTTCGGAAGGAACAGGTCCCTTCAGAACGTTTTTACCGTTACACGTGAATTTTAAATAAATTCTGTTGCGCCAAATTAATTATGTTATTTAACTAACATTCTGAATTAATTTATAAGAGAAGGAAATGAATTAACAAGATTGATTAAATAAATTTTGTCCAAAAATGTTATCAATCAATCACTTGCCAAATTCGAGGTCGAGGCCAAGCGAGCGACGACGACAGCGCGAGGGGCACCTTCTTCTTAACCCTTTAAGAACTAAAGAAAGTGTTTCCTAATATAAGGACAACAATTTCCTTTCTTCTACCAATATGGTAAAAATGACTTTTCATTTGCACTTTGCAATGACTTTTCATTTTCCCTCCAAAATTGGTTCCCCAACTTCACCCACTTTCCATTTTCTCTTCTTATTTCCCATTCACACCTTGCTAAACCCAACATTTTTTACAAAGAAAAAGACTTGTAATTTTTATTTTTGCTATAAAGACTCATGTTTGATGCGAACAGATTGTTTGCACCATCTGTGAATAATTTATCAAAGAACAACTAGTTATTACTATTGTTGATTTACTGAACTAATGAATCTTTGTAAAGTTATATGTATATCTAAAAAATTGTAGTAACATGTAATCATAAATATTTATTTATAAAAGAGATCAATGAAGAGTTAAAAAAGGTTTTGATAGTTTTCATAAATTATCGAGGGAGGGTATACATTTGAAAGAAAAATACAACTCAAAAAATCTAAATTTTAACAAAATTTTAATTACAAATCAATCTGATTACAAGAATTATTAGTTTACCTCATGATCTGAAATCATGTCCAAACGAGTACTTATATAGAAAAGATCCTTTTGATTTCTATAATTTTTCATTCATTGAATATACTTACTACTTATCTACCAATTACTAAATTCATCATCATAAGATCATGAAATAGAGCCACTGTTAGAGAAAAAAATCAAATAAGAAATAGTATTGGACTTGTTCCCTCAACGATCACACGATTGTATCTTCATGCTGATGAGTGATGATATCACTTTGTGAGGAAAAAAAACAACTAATTTTCTTTTGGGCTAATTTCCTAATTTTGTTGTAAATTTTATAGTGGAGAGTTTAATAATGTTCTATTATAAATGTACTTTGTATTGTTATTTCATTTAAGTATTCCTATAGCTTCTTCAAAAAGCTTGCAATCAAGTCGATAACTTGCAAGTAATATGTGCAGACGGTTTACAAGTAGCTTTATGTGAAAAACCTTTTGAATAACTTTCTTAGGCTCGCAATCAAGTCAACATCTACAAATCTTGTAGCAAATTTTGAAAAAGTCTTGTAACAGCCATTTTTCTTTTATAATAGAAAGTTAAGTCAATTTATTTGTACATTAATTTCAAAATGGATTGGGATTGCATTAGGGATCAGCTCTCAACCGTTTATATTTATCTTGGTGATGAATAAATTGAAACGATATATTTAGGAGGACATACTTTGGTGTATGTTATTCAAAAATGACATACCATTAATTGAAGATACACGTAATAAAGTTAATGATTCACTAGAGATATGGAGACAAGTTTTAGATTGAGCTGGTATAAATAGAGTGCACAAAATAAAAGTTCAAAATCGCATCATAGGAGATGAATGAGAAAGTGAGGATCGATAAACAAGTTATCCTTGAGAGTGGAATGTCTCAAATACCTTATGTCTATAATCTAAAGAAATGATGAGATCGATGATGATATCACACATTATATTGGCTCATATGGATAAAATGGAGGCTCACAACTGTTCGATTTTAATCTCACAAATAACACGTTGAATTGTCATTCATTTCTTCTTTTAAAAAATAGGCCTAAATATCTTAATTTACATTTTGGAAATGTATTTAAATAAATGTTTAATTTGCATTCCCGAAGAATCTTACACATTGGTCGATTAGTTTCACAAGATAACCAACCATCTCTTTCAAATTATAACAATTACTCTAAATTACCTACTCATTTTATAGTGATTGATTGTTTAAGTAACATGATTAGATATAATCACTTAATTTTTTTGAATTTTTAGATAAATACAACATCTAATCACTTGCTAAATAGAGAAAACTTAAAACCAAATTCTTTTGTTTCTTAAGTATATGTTGTAGCCCAAAGAGTTTGGGAAAAGGCTTGAAAAAACCTAAATTTCTCCCTTTTCACTCTCTCTCTCTACTACAACTGTGTGACCTTCTCTCCCAGAGATATAGAGAGAGAGAAAGGGAAAGAGAAAGAGAAAGAGTACTGCAACGCACGTCGCCATGGATTCTTCGCTCTCTACTGTTCCACCAATCCAAGGTCGCTTCGTTTTCACGGCATACCATTAGAGAAAACAAGCAAAGAACCCCAAAAGGGAAAAGCCCATCTTCATTGATTGGATTTTTTTTTTTTAGCTGTGGCGGACTTTAGAAGAACCCTAGCATTCCTCTTTTCTTCAATTTCTTGGCGGAGGGTCAGTCGTTATAATCTCATATCAAAGAAGAAGAAGAGGAAAAAGGGATTTTACACTGTAAAAATGTTCTGGGTCACTAAGTTTTCAGGCTTTTTCGCTGCGGCAATGGTAATGATTGTTCTTTCACCATCCTTACAATCATTTCCACCTGCTGAAGCTATTAGATCGTCTCACCTTGAATCCTATCTCCGATTTCCCAGTCAAATTACCCCCACTGTTCCCCTTAATCGTTTCTCATTTCGTAAAGCCCCTGTATTCCGAAATGCCGGTGAATGCACCTCTAATGACAGAAGAATATTGGGGAAAACTGGGGTTTGCGATCCTTCGCTTGTTCATGTTGCGATTACTCTTGATGTTGAGTATCTTCGAGGTTCAATAGCCGCTGTGCATTCAATTTTACACCATTCGAGATGTCCTGAGAGTGTATTCTTCCATTTTCTGGTATCCGAAACCAATCTCGAAACCCTAGTTCGATCCACCTTCCCTCAGTTGAAATTCAAGGTATATTACTTTGATCCTGAACGAGTTCGAAATATTATCTCCACTTCCGTTAGGCAAGCGCTTGAACAGCCCTTGAACTACGCTAGAAATTACTTGGCTGATCTTCTGGAGCCCTGTGTTAGTAGAGTTATCTACTTGGATTCGGATCTTGTCGTTGTTGACGACATCTCTAAGCTATGGAGTACAAGTTTGGGTTCAAAAACGATTGGAGCTCCGGAGTATTGTCATGCCAATTTCACGAAATACTTCACGACGTCGTTCTGGTCGGAACCCAGATTTTCCGGCACGTTTTCCAGCCGGAAACCTTGTTACTTCAACACAGGGGTTATGGTTATAGATCTGAAGAAATGGAGACGGGTCGGGTACACTAAGCGGATAGAGAAATGGATGGATATCCAGAAGACTAATCGGATCTATGAACTGGGTTCATTACCGCCGTACCTCTTGGTCTTCGCCGGACACGTGGCACCAATTGAGCACAGATGGAACCAGCACGGTTTAGGCGGTGATAATGTGAAGGGAAGTTGCCGTGATTTACATCCCGGTCCGGTAAGCCTCCTCCACTGGAGCGGCTCCGGCAAGCCGTGGCTTCGGCTCGACTCAAAAGAGCCGTGTCCGCTCGATTCTCTTTGGGCACCTTACGATTTGTACGGATTCTCGTCGTGAATATCTCATTTCTCGCCGGTAAATTTCTCCCAGTAACTTCTTCTCTTTTCTGTTCATTTTATTATTGGGGATTTTTAACTTTCTCTAATTTTTTTTCTTCTCAATTTATTTCGTTCAAATTTTGTTTCTTTTTTATTTTATTTTATTTTAACATATGAACATTAATGCATCACCAGAGACATTTGTATTCTATTCTATTATTCGTGCAGCTTGAAATAAAAAATGAATTACAGATAATTATTGGTTGTAATCAAGCTCATTTTATTTCACTCGTTAATAATCTATGTTGCTCGATACGAGTGTGATAACATTTTTTCAGCAGCAAGAGTAGGGTATATATCTGATGTGAAGTCAGCGAGATAAATTGTAACCGACACTAAATGAGTGGCCTATAAATAATTAAATGAGAGGAATACTATAGTAGTACTATATATAATTTATGTATACATTATAGTTTTTTCTTTTTATCTTCTAATTAATTTAGTTATTGATAATGCTAGTGTATAGTAGCTCTTATCTAGAAAATGCTTTCTTTTGAAGTAATGCTAATAAATAATTGTACTTATGAACCCTTTGAAAAGTGTGAGATTAAATGAATGTTAGGTTGTAGGTTGTAGCTCTTACATTAATAAATTGTATTTTGGGGCTTGGTGTTTTTAACTCTTTCATTTTTGAGTGTTGTCAATGAATTGTTGTTCTATTTTATTTGGGACTATCTATTACTACTCTAATTTGAACATGGACATGTGCTTACTTAAGATGATGCATGTAATAGGGATCAATTATTCTTGTTTTTTTATTAGCAAAAGATCAATATAACATGACTTTTTGTATTAGGAGAAATGGGGTTTTGAAGCAATGTATGAAGGGAAAAAGGGAAGCAAGCAATATCACCCAAAAGTGTGATCTAGATAAGATTAGACATTCAATGAATCAGGATGATAACTATGAGAGCATCATAATTCAATCCTAACCAAGACAAGATATTACTTGATACTTGTTGTTGGTGGAAGGTGACGTATCTCGTAGAATTAATTGAAGTGCGCAAAAACTTGCCTAGACACCAAGATCATTAACAAAACATATACTTAGGGTGTGTTTGGTTCAAAGGAAAATATTTCTTACTTTCTCTTAATTTAGGTGAACACTATGAGATAGGGTGGGGTGGTGATATGGAGGTGATGGCCTGTGTGTTGTAGTGCATAGAAGAGATAGTTTGAAAGTAAATTATTTTTCTTATTTTCAATATAGACATACAAATTGAGGAAAATTTGATAAGAAGGGGTTGCTCACAACACTTCCACTCTTACCTTGAGTAATGCATTCTTAAGTCATCAAAAGAGCAAAAAGGATGAAAGCTCGTAGAACCTCTAGAATAAATAATTGTAGTGTACGCAAGTTAATTCAAACATTATTGTTATAAAAAAAAAAGGAAAAAGGACAAATATACTTTTGAACTATTGTAAATGGTATGCAGATATTCTTTGTCATACTTTTGGGATATTGATGCTTCTGTCGTCCAAAAACTAGAGCATATATGCCCTTCACTTTAACGGAAGACTAAATAGGGACATATGATGCAATCTTATCCGTCGATAAATGTCAGATCGGTGGATAAAATTATGACACGTGTATGTCCATTAATATAAAGGTTTAATTTTTGGACGGTAGGGGCACCAATGTCCCAAAAATATGACGGAGGATATTTGCATATTATTTATGATAATTTGAAGATATATTTGCCTTTTTCCCCTAAAAAAAATGAAAGCATGGGTGGGGAAGGGTAGGGGGTTCAACTTTTTGGATTATTGTAAAGATAGTGGAAATGCCATTGTGGCACATGTGGGGTTGCTAGCGACGGGGAAATAAGTAGTGTTGCTGGCCAGCGAGTTATGCGATCCACTTTGTGGAATTGATTCTTGAGAAGAAGAAAGAATATCTATCCATAACATACAACATGAGAAGAATAAACTAAAAATGTGCAAATATTAGTGAGTTGTTGGATGGACAGTAGTGGAGAAAGTGATTCAATTAAATAATAGAAAATGATGTATTGTTTCAATTACAGGTTGTCAAAATAGGGTGAGGACTATGAAAACAGTAGTAAAGTACTGTCAAAAATGGTTGTCATTCACATATAAATCCAAAGGCTTTGCCAGATTTTTGCAGTCGTAACTCGTAAGGGCAAGAGAATCCAAGAAAGCCGTGATGTTTACTTGTTTGGTGCCAACTGCACGGATTTCTTTTCAAATAAACCCTTTTTATTTCCTCCTCTAATTACTTTCACAGCCAAAAAAAATAATTCATCTATACTAATATCAAAAGTTTGATTTATTTATGTCATTTTTATTTGAGAAAAAACTTGTCCATGACATTATTTATTAACTGAAATGATATAGATAAGTCAATCATTTTTTAATGGATAGCTCTTTTTGAAGGTTCGAGGGCATATTTGAGCATGTAATAAATGACGTGACTAAATTCATAATTAACTACAGGTAAAAAATGATTTTGTAAAATTGAAATTGTTTTCGGTTAACGAATAATGACGTGGAGGAGCGTTTTCTCAAATGGAAATGATATAGATCATCTAAACTTTTGACGGATGGGATAAATGAGTTTTTTGTCAAAGTCCAACGACATGTTTGAGTCTTTTCCTTTAATATATTAAAATATAGTTCGGAATAATTTGCACGCACTTTAATTAATTTTATAGAATAACTTTTTACCTTATACAAGTACATGTATCAAGTTATTCTGTCTATCAAAATTTGGATAAATGGGAAGAAATCGCTTAGTATTTTTGTCTCGATTGAAAATTTTGCATGAGATATTATAATTCTCAACGCACTTCATTGATCATCAGACACACCTTTATTAACTAATGAGCAAAACATTAAACAATAACGTTCGAAATCCTAAAATAAAGGCGAAATACATCGATCACTTCTTAAATTTGTTTCTAAATTTCATTTATAAGCTTGATTATAACTTGTTTTATTTGAACACCTAAATACATGATAAAGTGTTGCTATTAAACACTCACTTTCAACTCAAATTTTTTTAATAAGCTTTTGTGGATCTTTATCTATACTTATTACATAAATAAGTTAATCACATGACACATCTCACTTTATTTATTTTTTAGTTATAGACCTGATTATCAATTGAAAAATTTGTAAGTTTTATGAATTATTGAAACATGATTGGAATTTCTTTAAATTTGGATTTTAGTTTTACACGGATGTATGAGCTGTTGACTATATGTTTCTGATAAATATTAAGTAATAGTTATAACTATATTTAGCATATATGATATGATACAACAAGTGGTTTATTTGTCAAATATATTTGAGATATAAAAGAAAAAAGGGGATGAGCTGTGACATTGATGTGGCATCTAACATTGTTGCGTGTGAAGTGTCCAATGTATGGGACCCATACCTTTTTTCCCTGGCATCACACGTGGCCAGCTTCGTTGGCACTAAATATCATCATTAATAATTGTTGTGGATTGAGAAATCGAATCGTTACTTGTTGTTTTAGTATATGTTTTCAGTAATGAGCATTCAAATAAAGGGTGCTTCGAGGCGCTAGATTCATGTTCAATTTCTTTTTATTTTTAGCACACGCAAATTCAAGATTATTTTTATTTTATGAAATATAAGTATAAAATTCTTCTGACTTGCTGTGGCTTCTTTGCTGCTCTATTATTTTGCTCTATAGGGTACTTTCAAGTTGAAATTTATTGGTTCGACGTAGCTCATATGTCCTTGTCTAAATTTACCTCATTATTTTGAAGTTTTCTTTTTCTACTTGTGATTTTATTTTTATTTAAAGAAAAAGCCTACAGTTGAATGAGTAAAGTAATCGTGTTTAATATAATAATTAATCTGAGTTTTGACAGCATTATCTTTACTAATTTTATACTATTAATCATCATATGAGATATGGTAATTCTACCTTTTTGAATTTGATAATGAATAGATAAAAAAAAGTAATTCTAGTAGAGCCTTTTACTACAACACTAAGCCTAATTAGAGAAAGAAGCTGGTAGGTTAATCATGTTGGCTGTACTGCAAACTTACTATAGTCATAATTCCCTTTTTTTATGGATTAAAAAAATAGGGATAGTTAAAAAAATGAAAAGAATATGGATAATTTCTGGTTTAAATTATTCGATCATCTAATTTATAAAATATAGAAACTGTATAGGATGTTGTTCAGGTGATGTCTACCAAAAAAACAACTTGTAGTCTAGTTGAGATCAAACCCTCTTTACAAGATTATAGACTTGAACTTTCATGACTCGCTAATTTACTACTACATATGCATACGCAACATCACTGTATAGTTAGCCGAATGATACTTCCTTCATTTCAAAATAAGTGGTAATTTTTAGAATAAAGTAAGATGTATTTCTACTTATTTGTAGAAAGTGAGATGTATTTCTACTTACTCCTAAATCCTAAATCCTAAATCCTAAATCTTGAATCCTGAAACTCAAACCCCGAACTCAGAACCCAAAACCCGAAATCAAATCCCAAACCTCAGACCCCGAACTGCGAACCCCTAACCCTAAGAAGGATACATAAATCTGGTGTCTTAGAGCACCCAAACTTTTTTTCTGAAAAAACTTTATGAGAACCTCCGTAATGAGTTGGAGAAGCACTATGTATAGTCCCACCATTTTAAAGCATATTTTCGCATTTACGACCAATCTTTTAGAAATTATCCAACTTTCTTCTTAGCCCATGAATCTGGCTGGCGCCTTGGATCACCCAAAAAATTTCTCTGATTTTTTTTTTATGAGGACTTCTGTAATGAATTGGGGAAACATTACATATAGTCCCACAATTTTTAAGGCATATTTTTCGCATTTACAAGCCAACTTTTAGGAATGACGCGACTTTTTTCGTTTTTCGTGTGTATTAACCCATGGATCTGACGTTTTGGAGAACCAAATTTATTTTTCAAAAAAAATTATGAGGACTTTGTAATGAGTTGGGGAAACATTACGTATAGTCACACCATTTTAATGCATATTTTCACATTTATGAGTCAACTTTAAGAAATTACATGATTTTTTGGATTTTCGTGTATATTAGACCATGAATCTGGCACCTTGGAGCACACAAAAACTTTCTCCGAAAAAACTTTACGAGGACCTCTGCACTGAGCTGGGGAAGCATTATGTATAGTCCCACCATTTTTAAGGTATATGTTTGTCTTTACGAGCCAACTTTAAGAATTACGCGACTTTCTTAATTTTTCGTGTGTATTAGCTTATTGATCTGGCGCTTTGGAGAATCATTTTTTTTTCTCGAAAACTTTATGAGGACCACCGTAATGAGTTGGGAAGCATTATGTATAGTCCCACCATTTTAAGACATATTTTTGCATTAACGAGCCAATTTATGAGAATTACGCGACTTTCTTGATTTGTCGTGTGTATTATCCCATGAATCTACCGCCTTAGAGAATCCAAAAAAGAATTCTGAAAAAATATTATGAGGACCTCCGTATTGAGTTGTAGAAGCATTACGTATAATCCCACCATTTTAAGGCATATTGTCACATTTACGAGCCAACTTTTAGGAATTACGCGACTTTTTTGGTTTTTCGTGTGTATTAGCCCATGGCTCTAGCGCCTTAGAGCACCCAAGTTTTTTTTCTAAAAAAAACTTTATAAGAACCTCCATAATGAGTTGGGGAAACATAACATATAGTCCCACCATTTTAAGGCATATTTTTGCATGTACGAGCCAACTTTTAGTAATTACGCGACTTTCTTGATTTTCGTGTGTATTAGCCCATGGATCTGGCGCCTTTTGATCATCCAAATTTTTTTCTGAAAAAATTATATGAGGACCACCATAATAAGTTGGGGAAGCATTACGTATAAGTCGACCATTTTTTCACGTTATTTTCATATTTATGAGCCAACTTTTAACAATTATCCAACGTTCACCATTTTTCGTGTGTTCCCATTGATCTGGCGCCTTTGGGGCACCCAGAATTTTTTTTTGAAAAAAACTATATGAGGACCTCTGTAATGAGTTGGGGAAGTATTACGTATTGTCCCGCTATTTTTTTCACCCATATTTTCGCATATACGAGCCAAGTTTTACGAATTATTCAACTTTAACCATTTGTCTTATGTATTAAACCATGGATCTGACGCCTTTGGGGGACACATAATTTTTTTTCTCAAAAAACTATATGAGGACCTACGTAATAAGTTGGGAAAAAATTACGTATAGTCCTGCCATTTTTTCATGCATATTTTCGCATTTATGAGTCAACTTAAAGGAATTAACATACTTTCATCATTTTTCGTGTGTATTAGCCCATGGATCTGGCGCCTTTATGACACACGATTTTTTTTTCCTGAAAAAACTATAAGAGGACCTCCATAATGAGTTGGGGAATCATTATGTATAATCCCGCTGTTATTTTCACGCATATTTTCGTATTTACGAAAACTTTTTTAGGAATTACCGACTTTCACTTTTTTTTCGTGTGTATTATCCCACAGATCTGGCGTCATTGGGGTACCTGAATTTTTTTTCCTGAAAAAACTATATGAGGACCTCTGTAATAAGTTTGGAAAGTATTACGTATAGTCCCATCATTTTTTTCACGCATATTTTTGCATTTACAAGTCAACTTTTAGAAATTATCTGACTTTTGCCTTTTTCGTGTGTTAATATTAGCCCATTGATTTGACGTCTTAAGGGATCCTTTTTCTTTTTTTTGAAAGGCTATATGAGGACCTCCGTAATGAGTAGGGAAAGTATTACATATAGTCCTGCCATTTTTTCACGTATATTTTCGCATTTACAGGCCAACTTTCAGGAATTATCTGACTACTCCATTTTTTGTGTGTATTAGCTCATGAATTTGGTGCCTTTGGGGCACCTGGAATTTTTTTCTAAAAAAACTATATAAGGACCTACGTAATTAGATATGGAAGCATTATGTATAGCCTCGCCATTTTTCATGCATATTTTCACATTTATGAGCCATTTTTAGAAATTAACTTACTTTCATCGTTTTTCGTGTGTAAATGCCCTTGGATTGACGCCTTTGAGGCACTCAATTTTTTTTGTATGAAAATACTATCCTACGTAATGAATTGGGTTTCATTGCGTATAGTTCCGCCATTTTTTCACGCATATTTTATATTCAGAGCCAACTTTTAGAAATTACCTAATTTTCTTGGTTTTTCGTGTTTATTAGCTCATGGATCTGGCGCCTTTGGGGCATCCAGAATTTTTTTCTGAATAAACTATATGAGGGCCTTCGTAATGAGTTGAGGAATCGTTAAGTCTAGTCCCGCCGATTTGTTCGTGCATATTTTTGCATTTATGTGACAACTTTTACAAATTACCATACTTTTGCCATTTTTCGTCTGTATTAG